CATTGTAGTCTACTCTCCCAGGATCAGGAAACAGTCCTCCATAAAATGTGCTGCACACATCTGAATATTTGGGTTGAAGTGTTCTGGAACAGTGTTGTAAATACAACTTAACCACTGATTTCTAGTCGTGTCCTCTTTTGGAAGTCCAACAAAGTAGTTTTGCTTTCACAACGAAGCACACAGCGCCTTCACGACATGGCGGCGGCAACAATACTACAGCGAGAATAAAAGTTACGCTTTCTTTCTTTGCGTGAACATTTGGGCGGCGTTATGCAAATCTTCCCACATAGTGACGTAGACATGTGGGGGCGTGTTAGAACGAGCCGTTTTAGGTAGGTGTGGCTGACTCTGAACTTTTATAAAGAATATCTCTTTGGATTTGAGACTTTAGTCTTTGCAACTTTACAGATCTTCTTTATGCACCAAGAGCTTGTAACACTCCGAAGAGAACGGAAAACTCGCATCATATGACCCCTTTAATGTTGCTTTAGTGACTAAACAAAAAGTTTGTTAGTGAAATAGCAACACTGACTTCTCAGTTCGCTGTAATTGTTGTTCTTGATTTATTCAGATGCTAGTCCAGATTATTTGGTGACCGGAACTCATCCGTATCCATCTGCTCCGGGTAAGAGCGTTTAATCCTGCGAGCATTTAAATCAGTTACACAGAACTGGCCTAATGGAGTTTTTTTTCCTCCTAATGTTTTCAGGGGTGGCCCTCACTGCAGATACACAGATGCAGAAGATGCCCAGTGAAGCAGGTGTTCACTCCATGGCTCTGGCTCTTCCTCCCGCTCAAGCAAGGTGAAAAGCTAAACGCACATCCTTCATAACTGATTCTAAATTCTGTGTCTTTTTAATATCCTGATGAAATTGCGAATTGCGAATAAAAAGGGCTTTCAGGATTGCTGTGCTTGTTTCTGTGGCCCAAGTGCATGTTATTAGCGACTCCAATGTGGAGGTGAGCTTGTGTGCGTTTACTGCAAACCTCTGATGGCTGCTCGAGTTTTAAAAGAACACAATGTAGCTCTCATGCTCGGTGGTTCGAAAAACGCATTATTTTTTCATATAATTTACATTATTACAATACCTTTCTCCCCAGGCTGGCACAAACGGCTCGATTAGTTCCGGCTTTGATGAAGCTCCGCCTTCCGCAAAAACAAAACGGGTGTGATTGGTTAGCTGTCCCAGTGCGTTGTGATTGGCGAACAGCTTAGACGGTGTTTCAGTACTGCCGCACCTCTTGCTCCGTCTTTCAACAAAAGCTTTTGGGAATCCGGCACTTCACACTCGTGATGTGGCAGCTGTCTTCAGTACAATGCGCAGCACACAATAGCAAATTGGGGTTATAATGCTCAGGAACAGAGTTGACAAGTAAATTGCTACCACTGTTTCCTGACATCATTCGCTTTCGGAAGCCCAAACAAAGACGTTTGGACACGGAGGAGAAAAAACAGCGTTTCAGGCGGTCGGTCGCACACCGGACGAGAAGCGCAGCGTCGCGCCACGGCTTTAAAATTCAAACACATTATTTTCTATGAGTGTAGCA